CCACACCTGTTAAGTGTCCTGTGCAGAGCATGGTCTTTGCCACATGGAATTAGTTAATTCTGAGGACTTTGAGGGGTATAAATATGACAGCCCAGAGGAAGAAGGCACGGCTGCTTGGAGGAGGACTGCTTGCTGCTGGTTCATCCTGCTCTACATTTGCTGTTTGCTGATTAGATGGTAACATGGACTTCTGGACGACTGATAATGGTATTGCCTCCCAAGAGAATCCTTAGACCCTACCCATCAAGAAGTAGCAGAGAGAACTCTGCTCTCTGTCCCCACTAACCTTCTTTCCCTCCTACTCGGTGTTGGGGGGATTGGAAGGGAAGTAGAAGTGTTTAATAACCCTAAATAAAGCAAGTTTATTAAAAAAATCAAGATCAACAGGATTACACCCTATAAAGTATGGTACCCCATATTTTTCATCAGAATACCACTAACAAGAGTTTCTCCGTGAATGTACATCAGTTACAGTGAGTATGGCAGAAGGTCAATCAGGAAAGAGTTTTTGGCTGTTGATCTCTAACCTCCTTTGTCATCTAACTTTTACTCACATGACACAGCTTGTGTATTCCTGTACATGCACTGTATTGAAAGTCTATGCTTAGTAAAAAAATGACTGCTTCTGGGATATCCAGAAGGAGGACCCTGGGTAAGATGCTCAGTATTCATCAGAAAGGCAAACGGGATAGTCATCAGAAGAAGGTGAAAACAAGGAACAAGACAGGAGCCTACCACAGAGGGCCTCTGAAAGGCTCTACCCAGCAGGATATTAAAACAGATGCTAAGTGCAGGGCAGGGGAGAGATAGAAAGATCTGGAAAGGTCTGGATCTCCACAAGGAGAACAACAGAACCAAAAAATCTGGGCCTAGAAGTCTTTTCTGAGACTAATACTCCAACCAAAGAACATTCATGGAGATAACCTTGAACCCCTGCATAGAGGTAGCCCATGGCAGTTCAGTCTTCAAATGGGCGTCCTAGTAAGGGGAAGAGGGGCTGTCTCTGACATGAACTCAGTAGCTGGCTCTTTAATCACCTCCCCTGAGAAGGGAGCAGCCTGACCAGGCCACAGAGGAAGACTATGAAAGACAGTCCTGATGAGACCTGATAGGCTAGGGTCAGATGAAAGGGGAGGAGGACAACCCCCCCCCACCATCAGTGGATTTGGAAAGGCGCTTGGGAGGAGATGAGGGAGAGAGGGAGGGTAAGATTGGGAGGGGACGAGGGTGGGGTGGGGCTACAGCTGGGATACAAAGTGAATAAATTGTAATAAATAAAAAATTATATTAAAATTTGGCCAATTAAAATTGAAAAAAATTTCAAAAAATGTAAACATCTACAACATCAAACAACACAACAAAAAAAGACTGACTACAGAAATACAAAGCATATGACTGTAGAAGAGATATCTCTGCAATGGAATGAGCTATTTTCCCTCGTTTTTGAAGGCTTCTTCAAAGAGAGATCACTGTGTGTCTGGAGGTTTACAGAGCCCCAGGCCAAAAGCACAACAGAAATAAATAGCCTTCATCACATGGTAGGACATTCAAGCCCAGTTGGTTTGGAAAGTTTGACACATCTTATGGCTCTTAGTCCAAAGTTCAAAGTCAAATAAGGATGAAAAATAATGTTTTAATTAAACTAAACTTTTGTCAAACTACTTGGGAAAGGGAGGAGGTAAGACTGACTCTTTATACTGCTGATTGGTCACCTGTAGGAATGAAACTGTAGATTCTATATGTACCTTGCACTCTGGATTATGACTGAATGATGAGAGAATTATGGATTTCCAGCTACTTATTATAGCTTCTGATATACCCATTGCCCAACTATAAACAGATGAATGGATAAAAATGTAAATGAATCTTGTTTCAAAGAAAAAAAATCTCTCCCTCCCAGAAATCTTCTTGCCTAAAAGTGGAGAGCCGAGTAAGTTATGTGTGCCCAGGGCCTGGAGTCTGGAGCTGAGCACAAAGACACTCGTCCCGGAAGACAGTATACAGTGTGAGAGAGATGCCTGGCTCCAGCCCCTCAAGTTGTTATAACAAAACACTATGGTTTTGGTAGTTCTTAAACAACAGAAATGTATTCCTTAAAGTTCCAGATCCTGGGAATCCAAAGATGAAGATAATGGTTGATTCATTGTCTAATAAAGACTCACTTCCTAGTTGGTAGATGGCATCTGCTCACCTCCATCTTCACATGAGAGATGAGATGAATTAGTTCCTTTGAATCACTCTCATGAAGGCATTAATCCTATGTATGAGCACCCATCCCCTTAATCATCTCCTTAATTTCAGCCTGCCTTAGATACAGTCACTCGGTGAATTATCATCTTAACATCTGGATTTTGAAAAACAAAAACATTCAGACAAAGAATTATGTCAAATATTTTGTGAATATGTTGTGAATGAGAGAATGAAGAAATTAAGGCACAATTTTTATTCTATCTCCATATTGACTCAAGAAATAACGATAAATACTATATACTTATCTAATATTTCTCCATGTACACAATTTATAAAATCAATATTTTATTTCATTTCTTTACTAACTGAACATGTAGGTAGAGTGGCGATTTTCCCAGTTTGTGCACGAGACATGGGAAACCCCAGTCACATAACCTCAAAGGCCAAGCCCTCCGCTCACTCTATTGAAGGAGTTCACTGAGGGTCCAACGAGATGGTCCTCCAGGGAAAGGTGCTCCACCATGCCTAATAACAGGAGGTCAGGCTCACCAGGACCTACAGAGAGGAAGGGAAGGAGTGATCCCCACAAACTATTCAGTGGCCTTCACAAATGTGGGGAAGCATGCCTGCCCCACAGCCGCATACACACCCCTGCAGAAGGTAAATAAGTAAACGTGATAAATCTTTAACAGGAAATAAAAGAACAGTGAGATGGTTTCTGCACGGTGAGTTCGGTATGAAGTGCCCCGGAAAGGACCATGTGCTGAGCCTCAGTCCCTGTCTGGTAGATCTAATCACCAAGAGGTGATGGGGTCACGTGGACGCTGATCACCTCAGTGCGCTGGTCTACTGACAGGTTCGTAACTTGTCGGCATTATCGGGAAGTGTGGAAACTTAGACAGACCAGAGGGCACAGACTGAGGGTGTGTCCTCCACTCCCCCTCTTCCTGGCCACCAAGAGGTGAGCTCTTCCATTCCATACTCCTGACACCAGGATGTTTGTGCAACAGGGCTAGCACAAACCTTCTGTCCTTTAAACCACTCCTCTCAGGCATTCGGCACAAGAATGATGAGGCTGCTATTGGTGCCTGTTGCTCCCTCAAAGTTAGCACAGAGACTTCCGAAAGAAAAGCAAAGAGGAGGTATCACTGGCTGCCTCAGACTTCCCTAGCGTGGTCATTCCCTAGAGCTTTCCTCAGAATCCTGAGGATGATCACAGAGTTCTACGATCCACACCCTGCCCTGTCTCCTACCCTTTGCTCATTGTGAAACCTGTCATTTGCAGAGGCTGGAATTACCACCATGGGCAGGACTCACCGCTGTCAGTAGTGACACCCAACAGCCCCTTTGGTTTCCTGTAGTCTCTTCCAGAATAAACAGGAACTTCGTGGTGATTTTTTTTAACCTAAATTGTTTCAGCACTTGCTGAAGCTGAAGCTGTGGTGAGGTTTAGACTCCAGGTCTGGCACTCAAATACATGTCCTGAGTTTTGTTTGATACAAAGTACAATTTATAAATTGTCTACATGCATTTAAAGTGTGACCTGAATTCACCTGGGGAAGAAATGCTTAACTGAGATTCTCCAGTGGGGGAGCTAGAGAGATGGCTCAGTGGTGAAGAGCACTGTCTGCTCCTGCAGAGGTCCTGAGTTCAATTCCCAGCCGCCACACGGTGGCTCACAGCCATCTACAGGCATACATGCAAAGAGACTGTTCATCTGTATAAATGAATAAATCTTCAAAGAAAAAAAGATTCTCCAATGGCTATCCCTGCCCTGCACCAGCTACACTACTCAGGAGGGCAGGCGGCTGGGGTGTGGGTGAGCTGGCCCCGGGGGTGTGAGTGTGGGAGAGCAGGCTCAGCCGCTCGTCTGTTGTGTGGTGGTGTCAGTGAGGAAAAGATTCCCCTCCCCTCCCTCGTGCCCTCACCAGTGGCAGGTGGGAAAGCTGGTCCTGACAAAGTCATGAGAGCAGGAAAGCTGGCCCTGCACCTCAGCTGAACAGCACAGTAGAGCAGACCCTGGCTGTGGGGACAGGGGTGTTGCTGGCGAGCCGGCCAAGGCCATGAGAGCAGCTAGTGGGCTGACCGGCTCACGGACCTCGCAGCCCAGACCCAGGGCTTTGAACTGGCCTACCCCAACATCTATCCCATCAATGACCTGCCAGAGTGCATGAAGGAGCTGGTCCTACAGATCAAAAACTACAGGGTCTCCATGACACAGGACAACACAATATCCAAGAGGAGTCCCAGTGAGGCTGCAGTATTGATAGAGTAGGAGAAGCCAGAGGCCTCCTGCCAGACCAACAACTCATCGCAGTGAAAGGAGTGTGGACAAAAGGGTGCACTGTGGACACACTGTGACACACCATAACTTCCACAATAAGATTTTTTTTTAGGAGCAGTCAACTGCATTTATTCCCTACCAGATACATCATATGCAAAAGAGGTAGACTGGGGCAGATGGCCTGGAGAGCTAAATACACATACGGCCACTAATTCTAATTAGTAGAGAAGTACAAAATCTGCACAAGTTAAGACTTTACAACAGAATTCTGATGCCTGCCTGAAGGAAAATAAACTACACACATAGTTCAATTAAAAAATAAAAATAAAAAAACAAATACTTTAAAAATTGTGCTTCATATCATGGAATGCTACCCAGCATCAAGTCTTAGAACAGAGATGTACGTCCCAGGAAAGACGGCTTGAGCAGTGTGAGCACTGACTTCACCGCCAAGAAACCCAGGGCCAGGAGACCCACAGGCAGCAGCGTCTGCACCAAGTCCCTCCTGCTGAGGCCCTGCTTTCCGGTTATCTCACTACCAGCTGCTCATATGTCTTTCGTCTGATCATCCTCTTCAAGCTTTTTGATTTCATTTTTCAAACAATTTATAGTTTCACGACTTGCTTTTAATCTCTCCTTAAGCTCTGCAATTTCAAAGCTTGTTTTTTTCTTGGCAGCTTCTAGTTTTTCTCTGGTTTTCACTTCAAGTTCTGCAAATTCTGTTTCATGCTTACAGGCTCCTAATGTTAGCTGAGGAGATGTTAATGGTTGCTGCATCATTGCCGTTGGGTCTTGAAATATCATTTCATCGTAGAACTCTGAAACCACCGTCTTTTTCCCCAGCATTGCATTGGTGTCAGACTGGAACAGCTTTAGTAAGTGATACAGAGTTACAGGTCTTTCACTGGGGTCAATGAAAAATATTTTGATGATTATTTCAAATTCACCCCATCCTGTTTCAGTAATTTCATAGGGAGGCTTAGTAACAACTCTTAAAGGATTGCCATAGCTTTCATGTAATTTAAACTGAATTTTCTTCACATATGCTGACATATCCTCGTTTCTATATGGCTTTACATACACTGTCCACTGGTGGGTATGCCCATCTTCTTCTCTTTTCTTCCCAAAGTACCGGGCAACATTACCATAAACTATTGGCTTAACGATGGTAACCCCCTTCACTCTCCCGCCGGAGTCAGGCCCAAATTCCCCCATTCTCTTGAACATATTGTCCCAGGGAAGGAGCTCGAGCAGGCGGGGTCGCCGCTCCCCTCACAGGCCCGCTCGAGCCTGGGCCACCGAGGGGTTCAGGCTGGAGGAGGGCCAGTAGTCACCTGTGCTCACGGCGGCGCCGAGCAGCCACCTCCTCCACACCCACCGCATTGGGGTCGGCCATTCAGCCCTGCGGTCCACAATAAGATTTTTTTTCCTCTGTTGGTGGTGGGGGGTTCAAGGGTGGAGGGCGGGTACTTCGGGAGAGGAACATGGGTGGGATTGAAGCGCTTGATGTGAAATTCACGAAAAACCAACAGAAGGTTTTTAAAAATTCTCCAGTGCCAACTAAAGAATTAGAAATATTAGCCAAGGAGTCAGAGACTACTGTGTCCTGCACTCCCCACACGCCACCACACAAGGTCCTTGGCTAAGCCTATTTCTTAAGCCAACTTATAAGGCAATGCTATTTTTATTTTAATTTAATTTTTTTTTCTTTTAAAGAAATTTTATATATGAGTGTTTTGGCCTATACATACGGATGCTCACCATGTCTGTGCCTGGTGCCTGCAGAGGTCAGAAGAGGGCATCAGATCCCCTGGGACCAGAATTATGGATGGTGGTGAAACACCATGAGGCTCCTCAGATTCCAACCCAAATCTTCTGAAAAAGCAGCAGGTGCTCTGAACGACTGAGCTGTTTTTTTGCCCCAACAATACTATTTTTAAGTGCATGACAGTCATGCCATGCAACTCAGGAAATTTTAGGAATTTAGAGAAGTTTTGTGCTCAGAATACCAGGCAAAGATGCATGGAATTTCAAGGGTTTTCCTGAGTCCACACATAGCTCTCATCTTCGAGACTAATGTCAATAAAATAAATCATGTACTTCCCACTAGCCTTTATCAGCACTTTGTTTTATTGTATCATATTTTATTGAGCCTTTGAGACAGAATGTTCACTTAGCCCAGGCTGACCTAAAACTCACAATCCTCTTACGTCAGCCTCCCAGGTGCTGAGTGCACAGGCTTGGCGACATCATTTTGGAAAGACAGTATCTTACGGTGGAAAATAAGAGGCAAAAGACACACATTCCTCTCCAACATGACTGCGTGAACCCGACCAAGCCTGTTCTTTCTTGGGCTTCATTTCTCTGTAACAAACACGAAGGTAACTGTGGCTCTGAAACCTCATGGAACATCTCCAGATCAAAGAAGTGGAAGAGGCATGAAACACATGAGATCTCAGGAAGCTTCGACCTGCTTCATATTTGGAAAGGTCATAAAGATCAGTATCCATCTTCAAGATACTTCAGAAGAACTCAGGCCCTCCTGGGCAAAAGCAAAATCAACACAACAAACAGAATTTCTGTTGCTTCACACACAATGATCACTCAGCAAACGTGTTTTGTTTGTGGTCTGGCCTCGGCCTTCAGACAACCCCAAGAGCACAGAGGGCCTAGAGAAGCTCAGTAGAAGCAAGCGGTGTTGCTATGAGAACAGAGGGGAGGAGAACACGCTAGTCAAAAGTGTGTGCGAGAATTCCTGGCCTCTGTTTCCACTCTTTCCATTTGGAACTAGTCCCACATCCAGTTATAATTCCTGGGAAGAACCTTGCAGAGACCATGAAGATAGAGGTGTTTTCTCTCTCCCTCCATCCCTCCCTTTCTCTCTCTCTCTCTCTCTCTCTCTCTCTCTCTATATATATATATATATATATATATCATATATATAGATATATATACATCATATATATATATGATGTATATATATCATATATATTCTCTCTATATACTTTAAATTAGTGTTGCTCTTATTTAAATGTGTTTACGGCTGATCCCTTAGGACTGGGGTCTCATTTTTGAAACAAAATGAAAATAGCCTGGTTCTCAGAAGGGCAAACTTATGTAGAATGACTGCTCACTTGTTTTTCTGACTTTCAGAGAGACTAATGGAGTGTGCAGGGACTGTGAAGGCTCACACTTACCAGTGTCTGGAGACAGGTTGGAGAAGATGAGTTTGAAAAGTGTTTGATAGCAGCTGGGCTAGAGCACCTGTGTCATCCCAGATGGCTTTGCAAGCCTCCCAGTGACTAAGAGTTTTTGCAAATAAAGCATCAGGCAGTAAATACAACCTCCTGACCTCCCATTCTGGTCTATAAGGTCATATGGGTCAGAGAAGCAATTGACAAAGATAGGAATGAATGGGGCCCTCACTGAGGCAAGCCCAGGTCACAGAAATTACTCCTCTTGGCCCAGAAATCCATACCCAAGGGCAGTTCTTGCTAGATTTCTCTTTAGTTTGGTGTGCTCTCTTTGTTTGTTTGTTTGTTTGTTTGTTTTCTCTCATTGACTTGTTTACTAAAAATTGTGGCTTTTATTACAATACATACACACACATACCATACTACCAAATGAATTTAAAATTTGGAGTGGGAGAAGAATAATTTTTAACTGTCTTTTTCTAGAAAGTTAACATCTGAAAGCAAATTTTGATCAATGGAAAATTTCGGCCAAAGAAAATGACTCAGATGCAATCAATCTTAAATTCAAGTATGGCCTGAGCCATGGCTTTAAGCCCAGCTCTCAGACTACCCACGAGCTCACATGGAGCTGTCAGGAGACTCCATTTTACTTTTGACTTGCTCAGTTGGCCTTCTCTATAAACAGATGAGGCTAGGGCGACAGGCAAAGGGGATGCGTGTGGGGCAGCCGTCTGTGAGGGTGTCACTGCCATACCCAACCTAGCCCAGGTTCTTTCGTTTACAACTTAAGAGCTTGTTGCTAGGGTGTATTTCGTCCTTTTCGCACCTGTTTAGAACTGTGAAAATGTACCCCAAACTTCCTAAAACTGAGCTTTTATATCTTCTTACCAAAAATTATTATGAAGAGAGGTGGCCGTTCAAGTATGAAAAGTTAGCTTAGCATTTGAGTATTTTTTTAAACATATTTACTTATTTTGAGGGAGGGCAGGGCATGTGTATGAAAGTCAGCAGGCTCCTTCTGTCCTTCCACCACATGGGTCCCGGAATCAAGCTCAGGATGTCATCTTAGCCCAGAGGCACCTCTGCCTGCTGAGCCATCTTGCTGACCCCTGCGTATCTGTCTGACTGTGAGTTTCTCCAAAAGGCTCGGTAGGAGAAGGACCCATGATAGGAAGCCTGTTATTAATTCATTTCTCATAGTAGACGTGATAGTCCATCGATAACTTGACTGGACTTAGAATCACCTAGGAGATGAGAGAGGCCCACCTCTGGGTGTGTATGTGGGTTTCTAGCGAAGGTCACCTGAGGTGAGGGCGCCATCAGGCCGGCTGGGCTGCCAGACAGAATGGACTAGAATGAAGGAGATATCTCCCTTTCTTGACTTCCTGCTTGCCACAATGTGAACTACTCAACTCTGACACACCTTCCTTACTATGATGGACTCATGTCTCCAAAACCAATACCCAAAGTAACGAATCTCTCCTTTTCAGTTGTTCTCAGGTAATTTAGTCACAGGACTGTGCAAGTAACTGATACAATAGATAACTGGTGTACTATACCATGGGGGACCTCTGGGAAGTATCCATGCAGAGGGCTGAGAGTGCTAGGCTTGAACATACCAGCTCCCAAGAGTTATCAGTTGGGGGCTTCTGTGTGAGGTGATTCACACAGCTTGCCAAGTGCCAGGCAGCCATCTTTCTTGACTCACTGATACATGGAGCTGTTGACACCTGGAGGCCCACACTGGAACACTTCCAAACAGTCAAGATGCTGGAGTCGTGGTTTGGGCACTGTTAGCAAAGTCTACGTAGCACTACTATGCTGTTTCTGGAACTACACATGCCTGTTTAGAACTTCAGAGAAAGTTAAAGGATAGAGGACTCCTTTATAGAGGAAGACAGAGAGAAACTAAAATTTGGGAGAGTCAAGAGGAGCCTTCATTGGCCCTGGTCCTCTGGGGTAGCATTTCTTGTGTGGAGTGGGAAATGGGAAGTACAGGCATGGCTTCTAGGGGGAAGTGTCACGCTAGTCATTCAGCTTGGGATGTCACCCTCTCCTTCTGTCATCTCCAGAACCCTGAGTAACTTTGGTTGTCTATGGCCTGTGTCTATGACCTCCCTCAGGTCTCATTGGCATCAACCCATGTGCATTGGCTTTGCTCACAAACTATACTGTTGTACTGGATGTAACACAGGCTTCCTCTGCCCAGCACCACTGAACATTCCTGTTCCTTAGGCATGAATGCTTGTGTTCTCCCAAACCCACACATCATTCGATGGCATTAGGAAATAAAGGTGGTCAAGATCAGCTGAGGTCATGGCAGTAGAACACCCATGAAGAGATTGGGTCCCCATAACTGACACTAGAAAGCTTGCTCCCTTCATGTCTTTGCTTTGTGAGCTCCAATGAGAAGAAAACTACCTACAAAGCAGGAGGAAGTCTGTCCCAGCTGCAAATACTCTGAGAAATACATATTTGGTGTCTAAGCCAACAAGCTTAAAGTATGTTTACAGTACTCCAAACTGACTGAGATAGAAGCTTTAGTTGAACATGGAGTCCAGAGTTCATAATCCTCACCTTTGAGAGATAAACCCAATTTCTTATTGCATCCCTCTCCTTTCTCCTTTCCTCTTTCCCTTCTCCTCTTTTTCCTCCTGTTGTCCTTGATTTTTTTTTTAACAAACCCACTTTATTTAGGGTTATTAAACACTTCTACCTCCCTTCCAATCCCCCCCAACACTGGGTAGAAGGAAAAGGAGGTTAGTAGGGACAGGGGTCAGAGTTCTCTCTGCTACTTCCCACTGAGTGGGGTCGTAGGATTCTTTTGGGAGCAAGGCCAATATCAGTCATCCAGAAATCCAGAAGTCCAGGTAACCAGCAAATCAGCAAACAGCAAATACGGCAGCAGGACAAACCAGCAGCAAGCAGTCCTCCTCCAAGCAGCCATGCCTTCTTCCTCTGGGCTGTCATATTTATACCCCTCAAAGTCCTCAGACTTCAACTAATTCCACCCAGCAAAGACCACGCTCCGCACAAGACATTTAAC